TAGCTTGAGAGGTTTATTGACCGGATTAGTTTAAACGTGACAAAGCTTGAGAGGTTTATTGTCCGGATTAGTTTAAACCGGACAAAGCTTGAGAGGTTTATTGTCCGGATTGTTGACCGGATTGTTGACCGGATTGTTGACCAGATTGTTGACCGGATTGTTGACCGGATTTGTTGACMAGATTTGAGATGATGTCTTGTGATTTTAAAAAGAAATTGTTATTTTATCATAAAATGAAGTTTTGACACATATGGTTTTGGACTGATAACAATTCCAATGGCTACGGTCTATTCGGAATTATTTTCATAAATATTTTGATGAAGATATAAGGGTGGCATATCAAGGAGAGGTGTCCATTTGATATAAGGGTGGCATATCAAGGAGAGGTGTCCATTTGATATAAGGGTGGCATATCAAGGAGAGGTGTCCATTTGTTATAAGCGTGGCATATCAAGGAGAGGTGTTCCATGGGATAAGGGTGGCATATCCAGGAGAGGTGTCCATTTGATATAAGGGTGGCATTTGTATGTGTGTGGTTTTTATATATAACTATTTCTATTATATCCTTTAAGATTACCAAGGTCTGGAATCTTTATTTCTTTGTGATTTAAGGATTTAAGATCAAGGTTCTTAATTGGAAATCATAGACTGGATGTTATTGAGGAGAAAAGAATAGGTTTGGCCTGAAACTTTGTTAAACCTTATTTGATATTAAAAGGTTTAAAAAGTGGCATTGTATGGAACCCGATTGATTTAACTTCTTGCTTATTCATATATTGTATATATATGAATAGTTGTTCTATAAAGTTTTGGTGATCCTTCACCCTGCAATGGCATGAATAGGGTATCTCACTAGACTCTTYAGTCTAACCYTCGTTTTTGTGATTTTAAATATGTATTGCAGGACATGTGGAAGGTAAGGGAAATAAAAAGATGTAATGCTTTTCTTACATGCATTTTGGTTGAAGATTGCTTTTGATGCACAGTTTTGATGATTAGTACAAGATTGTATTTTGAATTTTTGGACCTTGTATTTGGTCTTGATAGTTTCTTGTACTATGGGACCAGATGTGTATGAATATGTATTTCTTTAATACGAAATATATGTGTTACATGCAATGTGTGGGTTGGGGCGTTACAGAATGGTATCAGAGCCTGAGTTTAAGGGATTTAGGTATTTTAACAACATGATACTTAGACTTAAACTGTTTTATTGCATGTTAAGGGTCCCGGACATAGTTAGCACCATTGGATATAAATATGATAAGTTGAAAGAACAGTGTGTAAGGTGAATTTTAATTACATCTGGCCAGTGTAATTATAAATTTACAGGTACATATCTGAACTTGAATACTTCATTATATTTGGGAATGTGAATACGTGAATATTAATATTAAAACTCTGCAGATGTCTAACGAAACCAGAAGGTCTGAAAGAATAGCTCGTCCAGAATCTGAAGAAAGGGAGGAATCTTTGGTTAATTTTTTAGTCAGTATGGCTGGAAATAGAGGTCGAGGAAGACCAAGGGGGCGAGGTAGAGGGAGGAGTCAGTTTCAGGGAAGGGGACGAACTGAAATACATTCTAAGCAGGAAGAATCACACTCTGGGAATGCTCAGGGAGGAACGGTACCACACCCAGAATATATAACCAGAGATGTGTTAGCAGAAGAAATGGGGAAATTACGAGAAACGTTGATATCTATTATGAGGATACCAACTAGAGTGGAAATAGAAAGAGTAGAGGTTTATCCATCTGCTCCAATCACTCATAATAAAGAAGGAGATATTAAGACATTCTTAGCGTGTAAACCACCAACTTTTTCCGGAGAAAGAGATCCGGTGAAAGCAATGTGCTGGATTAAGGAGATAGAATCTGTGTTCAACACCATTCGGTGCCCAGAAACAGATAAAGTACGATTTGCTGTATCAGTATTGAAGTCAAATGTCTTATTCTGGTGGGAAGTAGAATCATCTACCAGAACGGATGTCTTACAAAGTATATCATGGATAGAATTCATGGAACGATTTAAAAATCAGTTCTGTCCTAAAACGGCTGTGAGACAAATGGAGGAAGATTTCTTGAAGCTGGAACAAGGAAATAGAACAGTACGGGAGTATACTGAAAAATTTATTGAATGCTCTCGCTTTGCCGAACATTATGTTTCGACGGAATCAAGGAAGATAGAAAGATTTATTTGGGGTCT